ATAATCCATTAAAAATAATCGTAGGTCAGGATGTATTGCAAAAATACGCGAAACTTGTTTTGCAAAAGCATTCTAACCTTAGAAATTGGACTATCGAAGAAAAGAAAGAGACGAAAGAAAACTTTGTATATTTTAACCGAAAAGCTCCACTAGGGTGCCCACTCTGCAAACGTATACATGACAAGGATCAGCGGTGGTTCAGTCGTATATGCGCTAGAAGTGGTGAATTCATCGTAAAATGTTTTCGGCAAAATAGTGATAAGTGTGGGGAAGTTTTTGAATGTGATCCATCTATTGCAGAAAAAATTCAGCAAGAAAATAAAAATTTACCACAAGCCTCTCATAAGATAAAGGGTCCAGGTTTCCCTAAAGCCTTCTTAAAATTCCCATCTTGGGTTAAGTATGATGACCCCCTTATAGCTACAGAAACATATAAGGAGAAATATGTAAAACTATTACCCAATGAAGGCGATATTTATGTGGGATCATCTTGGGAGACAGGAAAAACATATATTCTAGAGCATCTTACTATATCTGATAATGTGAATTTACTAGTATTATCCACGCGTCACTCCTATTCGAATGCTGTTATTACAAGACTTAATCTCAAATCATATTGCGATATTAATGATAATATAAATCTTTCTGATCACAAGAGAGTTGTGTGTCAGATAGAAAGTTTACATTGTATTACTAATAATTGTAAATGTAATAAAAAATGCAAATGTCTTCCAATCCAATATGACTTATGGCTTAATGAAATAGTATCTATAATTGCTCAAGCACAAAGTCGTTTAGCAGGGCAATCAATAGAGAAATTATATAAATTAATTCAAGAGGCTAGACGTATTATCGTCATGGATAATAACCTTACTGATCTTAACATTGAATGGATTAAGACCCTTCGTAAAAATATACCTTTCTCTATTATTCATAATACTTATCAGTAGTGTTGCTGTCCGAAACTAAAATTCCGTAGTTTAGAATTACCGAAACTAGTTTAGTTATGTGTCAAAACTAGTTTAGTTAATAGCCGAAACTACCGAAACTAGTTTTGTTTAACTGAAACTAATTTTTGGTAGTTTAGGATAGCATCCTTACTTATCAGCCTCAGAAAGGTAAGATATTCCGCTTGGCTCCTAATAAAGAAACAGTATTAGCTGAACTTTGGGATTGGGTTAAGCAGATGATTTCACTATCTTTTGAGAAATGGAAAAGTGCATTACTTATTTGCCAGCTCAGAAAAGATGTATAAGGGATAGTTCGTGCCCTTAAGACTGATTTTCCAGAGTTAAGGATTAAGGAATATCATAGTAAATCTGATTCAGTAGAGAAGGCCACCGACTTCGATAACGTGGAAGAAACATGGATAAATGTAGATCTAGTTGTATATACTAGTACTTTAAAAATAGGAGTATCATGCACTAATCCAAAGTTTGAGCGGGCATTCTGTCTTTTAATAGCTACATAGAAATAAATGCTGGAACGAATCAGATGCTATTCCACATGCGATGTATCAAGGATTATATATGTCATATTGAGCAGAGATCTTCTAATGTTCCCATTATAGAAAAGGGATTATTTCAGTGGTTATTAAATGCTAAACGTGAATGTCTTCCACGAGAACTTCAAAATAGAGGAATTTTTCCAGATATTGATTCTGTTATTCAGAATAAGGATATGCCAACTATTCGATTATGGATAGCATTTATGTTAGAGAAATTCCGGTCTTAACGATTATTTGGTTGGAGAATGGTCGATTTTCTCAGAGAGGCGGGTATGATAATTTCTATCATAGAATCTGATCCTAAATCTAATGAAAATGTTATTTCATTGTCTCAAGTGGTAAAAACAAAGTGTACTATTGTTAAAGCAGAGAAAATATCAGATATATTTAATGCTACGATTGTTAATCATGAGACTGCTGAAATTTTGGAAAATAGGCTAAGAAAGACTTTGAAAGAAATGCGTTCTTTAGACCAGTACCATATTGTGAATTGTTATCAGGTTCCACCTGAATTACTAACCGAATACTTCATCTCAAAGTATGAGAATTATAATCATATGAAATGGTTTAGAGCTTATAGACAGTTACGAGATGCTGGTATTGACAATAAAATGGCCGTTGAAGCAATCATTCGTAAAGATTATAAAGAAGATAGGTTTACAACTGTCACTCGTGCAGAAAGACATCGAATTTGCCTAGAACTATTAATGATTTGCATGCCAGCTAGAGATATTGATGACAGAGCTAGATATAAATCCGATGATGTTAAAATGCGTCTGAATTCTCCTGAATCGATATCATATCTCCAGGATTTAGTTCTTAAAATGGCTCGGGTATTTGATAATACAGATGCATCACGCAGAGTTAAAAAATCAGGATTGAAAACAGATCAGGCAAAACTTGGTTTACTGAACTCAGCATTACATGCAACCTATGGGTTGAAATTTAAGACTATAGACAAGAATCGTAGATATTATCATCTATTAGGTTCATTCGACAGCAAAGACGCTCCTGAGTTACCTTCATACCAAACTGGTGAAGAAATTTATTGTGAAAATGGAGAAGATACTCAATATGGATATAGTAAACTTTCACTCGATGAATTAACATTAGATATTATTACTAGTTCAAGCGAAGTGGATAATAAGCAAATCACAGAAGATATTTAGGATTTATTTGATATATGCTGATCTATAATCGTTTGAATCTGAGAATTAGTGAATTTTGATATAGTATCGGCACTATACGTTTTGATATAATAAAT